GCGGCGTAGTGAGATAGCCGTATGTTTCAGATCGTCGGTTTCATTGTACTGATCGCGGAGACATTGCCGGCGGTCGTCCCCTCGAAGAGGAAGCTGCCTAGGATGGGGCAGAAAACAGACCCGCTCGCGATCTTTTGTGATTCACGTCCCGAACCTCCCCACCCGGATTCTCTCTTATTCTGCGAGGCATGATGCGTACCAGCTTCGCCGAATAGGCAAATGTGTTTTTTTATTTTTTATTTTTTCAATCACGAGCGAGGGGTCAGGCGAACACTTGGGGGTGAAGCAAGACAGACAGAAAACACGCAGGCATAAGCTGGGAGCGGAGGAGTAGGTCCCGTTCGATTTGCATTCCGGAAGCAGTGCGGGATGAAGGCCCATCTGCCGATTGACGACTGCAGCGTGGAACCCCATGTGACAGCTCGTCAGGTCCAGTGGCTTTCCTCGGTGATTGGCTCTTTGGTATGTCTTTCCTTTTCCTCCCTCCCCCCCCCTCCCTCTTCAATTCTCGTACCACGCGGACATCTTCACCGGGGCATGTGCGTTTCTGTCTCTCGGTCGAGATGGTTTCGGAGGGTTGGGAGCGTGTATTTTGTCATGGGGTCGTCTTCAAGGCAGCGACATTGACCCATCGCGGCCGAGACATGTGTTCATGCGCTTCGATCTGAAGAAGAAGCAGAAAGACGATCAGGAGAAAGAAGAAAGGCCAAAAAAAGAAACGCTGGGCCTGCGTGGAAGCCTTGGCCGTGACTGCCTACGTCTACAATAGACTGCGGGAAATGTGGATCGGAAAAGGAAAGATGCGAAAGTGGGGGGGGGGGGGGGGTGTGCCTTCTCATCGCCGGGTTCCGATTCAACTTCCTGCTCCTCCTGTTTGGGGTTTGCCAATCCCTTGCCGACCTATAGGTATATAGGTATGCACAGCATTGGGAAGAACGACGAACTCTCCCACAACTATCGGAACTGAGATCTTGCATCGCTCTCGGCCGTCAACATGTGATGTTGCAGGGGAGGGTGAAAGTGAAAATCAATCTGTCATCCCCACCAACCACCCCCCCCCGTTACCTTGTTTGATCTTCCTGCGGGGATACCTGGCTTGCGCATAAACGATGCTTTCGGCAAACGAGAAAAGGAGGGTGAGGGCGGGCCCCTCACTGCCGATCCCGGGACGGCGGGATGGCCGCGGACAGGGCGGTTGTTTGATCGGAGGTTGGGGTTCGCAACCACCGTCGGTTTTGCCTGGAGGGGGACGGGAAATTTTAGGGTCGCTGCCGTGGAAATACTTTCCCCATCCTCGTCGCTTCCCCTTTTTCCCGTTCCAATCGGCCCCCGGCAGCCTTCCTGGGGCATGCCTCATCTCAATGCGATGCGGCCGTCGTATGAATAAAGAGGCTACACAGTGCATGCAGCATGACGATGAAGTGAGGCGTGTCAGTGGATGATATACACATATATCCGTACGGTAGGTACTAAGCGGTTTCCGGAATTCAGAAACTGGTATCATTCGTTGTCAGGCCCCGCTTTAATTTTGTCCCCCCAAGTGCGAACTGTGGCTAAGAAGCCGAACACGGCCCAAACTCTCTTATACTGTTCATCGCATCTCATTTTCTAGACCGCCACTCCCCCAATCGCTGATCGCGCAAACGGTTCCGCGGGGGCGGGTGGGAGGAGCCTGGGAGGAGAGGGGAGGGGAGCGCGGTGCGCCACGGCGGTAAAAAAAAAAAAAATTCCCTACGCACGAATGTGCCGTGTCGATTGCGAAGAATCAGAAAAGATGTTGATATAATATAGGATCACCTCCACCGGCTGTTTCAAAGAATGATGTATTAAAGTTTCTATCTGTTAATACCATTGTAATACCCCCAGCTAACACAGGTAAAGATAATAATAATAAGACTGCTGTTATAACAACAGCTCATCCGAATAAAGCTAATTTATGTAATTTTATACCTGGTGTTCTCATATTTACTACAGTAGTGTTCTCATATTTACTAATAAACTACTTACCCCTGATAAATGTAAAGCAAATATAGCTAAATCTACACTAGGACCACTATGACTTTGTAATCCTGATAAAGGAGGATATAATGTTCACCCTGTTCCAACTCCACCTTCTATACATGCAGAGAATACTAATAGTATTAAACTAGGTGGTAATAGTCAAAAACTTATGTTATTTAATCTTGGAAAGGCCATATCCGGTCCACCTACCATTAAAGGCATTAAGAAGTTACCAAAACCTCCAATTAAGGCTGGCATAACCATAAAGAATATCATAAGAATAGCATGAGCTGTAATTATACTATTATATAATTGGTTATCTGAAATATATTGAACTCCTGGTCCACTTAACTCTAATCTTATTAATACAGAGAAAGCTGTACCTAATAATCCTGAAAATAAAGCAAAAATTAAATATAAAGTCCCAATATCTTTAGCGTTTGTAGATAAAAATCATCTTTCGGCATTCATAGATATTGAAGACGTTAATTTTTGTTTATCATTATCTTCAAACAAAATGTGTAACACTAATTGATTCGCTTCCGCTACGCAGAGAATTACAATTAGTGCTGCGAATTACTTGAAGTTTATCCTTTAAAGATAAATCTTTAAATATAAAATAGTAATAAGTACTAAAAGATCGACATGTAGCGACTTATTTGTATTCAATACATATTTTATTATGCGATCTCTTGTCTTTTTATCTTTGCGAATGGTATAGTCTAATATTTGTAAATTCTTAAAATTCCACTCGTCAGAGTTTCACCGTAAGCTTAAAGATCTAACCTTAATCGCTTAATTAAACTGAGATTGCTCACTAGAATCTTTATATACTAACTACTATTACATTAGAATATATATTACTAAGATTAAAGAAATGCCTTCTCAAGTTAAAAAACAACTTTTTTATATTCCGATTAGTACTGATAAATTAGGTCCTAAACTTGAGAGTTCTATAGATAATAATGTTTTTATTACTATTAATGATAATATTATATGATCTTATGATAGAATTATTAAGCTTATTCATAAAAAAAATAGTATGATTTTTGACCCTAATACTGAATTTTATTTAAGAAATATTTCTAATCCTAATTATATTATGGCTGTTTAAAGAAGAATAATGATATTATTAAGTGTTGTTTTGACTTATTAGGGAATTTGATTCAAGAAGTAATTGATACTAAAATGGAAGATGGTACTATTTACAGACATTCAAATAATGCTGTTATTAAATTAGATTCACAAGGTATGATGTACTTTTATCAAAAAAATATTGTAACTAAACCTATACAATATGTGGCTAAAAAAGAAAAATCTTTTTTAGAAGATCAAAATATAGGAGTTTTAGATTTAGAAGTTTATAACCATTCTGTTGATAACATATCTTATGTATATTCTGGTGGAATATATACTAATATTGATAAAAATCCTAAATTATTTTATTTAGACCCTATTACTAGAAATAGTGATGAATTAATATTATCTATGCTGGCTTGGCTCGAATCAGCAAAGTCTCTCATGTATTCTACGTTCCAAAGAATAATAAATATGCCGTATACTTTATCTTAAAAGTACTTACTAACTTTAATAAAATTAATAAAGTTGTTCAGTATAAAATTGATACTGTTATGAGAGATAATGTTATTTTAAGCATTAAAATTAAAAAAGTTGTTAATGGTAAGCATTGATATCTTCTTTGCCGCGAACGTTGTTCTCTGTCGTAGCTCTTTCTCTTCCGAACGCCGTTTGAAGTCTGTACTTGCGGCACACGCACTCATGTGAGTTGCAGTTCCATACAAGATCTTATCAAACACTTCCTTGATCTTGTGGGATCACTTGAAACTTGGTACGATTCCAGTTGGCTGAATAAGGGTATAGCGAGGGGTCCATAAGGGCGCCAGAGATACAAGCACTTTTCTAACCCAGTGTCGGGTTCGGTGTTGCGAGGTGTTGCCTTGAGACCCAAGCACACTGCCAAAGATTATGGTATACTATTATGAATTCAGGAAGGTTTTATGGGCGTAATGTGAGACGGCGAGCTCGGGGTTGGCTTGGGGAACCTGGGATCCAGCCTTGACGCCATCTGCTACCCATTGGACTCTGGATACTGGCCCTCTTCCGGAACACACGAGCAATGGCCGACATCTCATCTGTTGATGCACCATCCATTATGAGAGTGTTCTGTGTTCAGGGAAGTCACATCAACATGCTGATGACAAGCAGAACAAGCTCGTATCGCAGCAGTTCTACGCAGGTTCTTAGGGGCATATTGCACGGAAAAGAAGAAAGAAGACGGGGCGGGTCTAACCGAGGGTCGTTGAGTCTTCCCGGTGAGCAACGGCTTGTTCTGATCGCAATTGCCGAAGCCTGCTACTATCTGTCCTGGTCGGACAACTGGCTATGCCAGGATTACGATTAGGTAACCCTCGAACCGGTGGCATAGGTAACTAACCATGAGGCGATGTGCCGGACGCCAGCCGACCAGTAGAGCCACAACGTCAGCATGCGACACAATAGAGGCCTAAGAAGCCCTCGTTTGTGGTCGGCAGAAGGGGGCTTTGGTTCTGGCATGTCAGTTTAGAAGTTGGATCAGACGGCATCGAGGCCTCGGCAAGTGAAGTGACTAAGGATATGAATAGTATCCGTAGACCGGGTGAGGTTGACTGGAAGGACTTCTGTGGGTCCCAACGGCTCCATTTGCACCAGCCACAATCTCGCGGCCCTGCTTCCTCGTCGGCGTTAACGTCCGCGGCAAGCCACAGGCGCCTGTCAGGGGAACCAGCTCTGGAACGCAAACCCCTGCAGCTGCACCGAATGGAGCTGTGCGCCGGGCTCAGCTTCGTTACGTTTCGTTTCACCACCAGATCGACGAGCTCGACGATGTCGCCATTGCCCTTCATCGCTCGACAAACACGAAGGTGAATGGGCGGTCAATGGCACGCATATCGCTCTTCAGATTTCCGAACAAGCTGCGCCGGCGCGTACGGAGGAATCGAATGGCCACCCTACTGGTTCTCCTCGCTCTGGTCGTCCTCCTGACCGTCCCCTTCTATATCATCTACAAACCCCCAGCGTGCCTCATCAACTACTTCGCTCGTCGATGGCCCGATGTTCTCTGGCAGGTCCCGACGGATAAGAAGATTATAGGCCTGACGATCGATGATGCACCGTCCCAGCACACCTCCGAGATCCTGAAAGTACTCAACGAGAATGATGCCCACGCCACATTCTTCCTTATCGGCTCGCAGATGAATGGCCGCGAAGGAGACATGGATGCAATTATCGAGTCCGGGAGCGAGCTGGGCAACCATGCAATGCACGACGAAGCTTCGCGATCCCTGCCCGAAGGGCAATTGGAGTCAGAGATATTCGAGGTCTATCGCAAGATCAAGGTTGCCTACGAGTACCAGGACAAACCCATGGTGGCCAACTACTTCCGCCCGGGCTCGGGCTTCTTTAACGACAAGATGCGGCGGCTGGTCGACAAGATGGGATACAGGATGGTTTTGGGCAGCGTGTATCCTCACGACGCCCAGATCAGCTCTTGGCGGATGAACGCCAATCACATACTGAGCATGGTCCGACCAGGTGCAATAATCATCTGCCACGATAGGAGGAGCTGGACCGTCCCCATGCTGCGGAAGGTGATCCCAGAACTCAGACGGCGCGGCTACAGGATCATGAACTTGACGGAGCTGCTGAAGGAAGTCGACACAGACAGATGAGTCAGTCCTCGGTCAACCAATAGTTGATCGTTCGTTACATGAGCACATTGAGCATACCGCACAGCATTTGCACTCCCCTCCCCCCAACGCCCCCCTTTCCTCTTCCTCCCCTTGATCGTCTCGCATCGATTCCGATAGCGTCCATGAGAGTCATGTGAGGGGTGTCGGCAACCGTGAGGAGCGTGCGTAACAGCAGCCACAGCTGGTCTCGACTCGGCTGCAGCATCGAATCGCTGGGAATGCGAGCATCATATGCGCGTCACTACGACGGGGATCCACGCGGTGCAACCCCTCGTTGCTTGCGTCAGCACGAGCAGGGCAAAGACTCTATCTACATTTACCCACGTGATGTAGACCCATCACAAAAAGCGCCGGGCTGCTGCATGATCGAGAGTCGCGAAATCGCGGTTTCGCGGACTGTTGAGGTGCGGTTCCCTTTTTGCTGTTTCAGCGAGGTGGCACAATAAACATGTCCTACAAGACTGCGGCGTGACCAACTGAGACCCTTGAGGAGGGCTGAGATGGGTGACACACGGTATAGATTGAGGTGTACGTGAAGGAATGACTACAGCGTACGCAAAGCGATGCTTTGTACGATAGGGGTTATCAATTGATGCTGGTAACCGCGGGTGATATGGGAAATGGAAACGCCACATACGTTCTGCGGATTTCGAATTCAATATGTTTCCTGAAATGGCCTTCCTGGAACAAGTATATTCCCACGCAGGTAGCCGTCCGCCCATGGAAAATTGTGGTTTAAACGACTTGTCTCAACTATATCTCTTGGATGCAAGCAATGGCGTGTATGGTAATGTCCACAAAATGAATGAACCTCTAGAGCCCGATCCATCGGCTAACCGCAGTACAAGATTCTGCAGAGACCACGTCTCATCTTCCGAATGATCTCATAAGTATAATCCAGTGCAGAATTCACCAGAGCCAGTTCTAGCTAGCCCTGAGTTCGATTGGATGAAAATCAATGCTATTATCCGGCGCGTAGCGAGTCCATTGTCCGCGCCCCTGATACCGTACGCTCGGGACTCTCTCACCGTACATCACTGGGTTTATTTTTAGCCAGCGGCGACACACAGCCCGTAAGATTTCAATAGCTTTATGGATGTATTGAGCAATTTGTTCGGGATCATAATGTGGGCTGCGGTGGAGCGAGAAGAGTGGCATGTTTGTCCTCGACATTGAGGCCGCTCAGTCGGTTATTTACCGTATTTCACAATGAAGGGGCAGAATGGCTTGGCGTCCACAAAGTAATAGACATTCAAGACTTAGCAAACATATATGGCGCCAACGGGTGATCCAGAAATGAGAGGATGACTCTCAAGAAAGGGACATGGCCCTCGTGAGTTATTAGTGTATAGCAAATGGAGGTAGAGGGCAACAAAGAAAAGCTCAAGTGCGCAGCAAGCAAAAGACTCGGAATACCATCCTACAAATGTCTTCATCCAGATGAAATTCGTGGGATTTCCATCACCAGGTTCATACCGACCTGACGGGCCACGGTGTTATACCACCAAGCCACCGATGCCTTCCGTGCTTGGTTGAGAAGAATGGAGGCCAAGTTGAATACAAAGGGGCCGAAAGCCTTCGTCCTCATTCCTATTTTCTATCCGATCGCTTCTCGTCATATCTCATCCCGTCAGTTTCTTGGTTCACTCCTCCCCTTATATCCTTGCTTATGCAGTCTCACCTTTCTTACCAGATGGCCTTCGCTTGACTGAGGGTTCTACCGGTTCCTACTTCAGTCTCCACCAGATACTTGAGTTTCTTGCCGTCCTATCTTTTTTTTTATTTCTTTTGCTCGGATCAGAAAGAAACAACCAAATCTTCACTTCCAGCCCGTATCGCTGTTGTGTGCATGAGCCAACTCTGGACGAACAACAACGCGACAAGATGTGTGTCGACCAACAGCTCTTTCATTCTGGTGTCCGCGGCCGAGCCGACACCTACAAGAAAAACGCAAAAGACACGAACGCCAGCAAAATGAGCCCAAAGACCCAGGAAGCTCGAGTCATTTCTGAAGCCCTGAAGGGGCAGACCATCCACGTCCCAAACCTCTACAGCATCCTTAAGGGATGGCCGGTCAAGGCCAACGTCAACTACGAACGTCTCGTTCCCGTCGTTGAAGATGCTTTTGACCGGCAAGTCCGATAAAATGTGGAATGTAAAATAGAAGAAATACTACTGACGTTCGCCCCTTCAAATAGTCTCGTCAAGTCGCCCAACCTCCGGGAGAAGTACCGGAGGGCTGATTACGCCCGCTTCGTCAGCCTGTCAGTGGTGTTCTTTACCTGTTTTCTTCGAACTACTGAGCTGATTACTGCAGGTACTACCCTCATCCCGAATGGGATCGAGTTCAGACCCTGGCGCTCTATATCATCTGGTTGTTCTGCTGGGACGATGCCATTGACCAGCAGGGGACTGTGGATCTGAGCAACAACCTTCTGCGTGCCAAGACACGTCGTGACAACACCATAAGAGTGCTCGAGTACGTTCTCGGCCTTGCTCCGAAGTTTGGCTCGGATACACAGTTTTCTCAGGCAGATTATGAGCTGAAGGTGATTGGAGATGAGTTGAAAAAAGCCTACACCCAAGGTGAGGCTCGACATCCTTGAAAACTGTGGGCATCGCTGACCCAAGAACAGAGCAGAGGCAGGTTTTCATGAGCCAGATGCGGCGCTATATTGGCAACTGTCACGAAGAACAGACAATGCGGCTTCAAGGCACTCTGCCTAGCATCGAGTCGTATTCAGAGCTTCGCCATGGCACGGCCGCGGTCTGGACCCTGTGCGCTCTCGTCGAGTCAGTCATCCAAGAAATCAGATACTCATCTCTTGTTGACCAGTATATCAGGTTCGGTCTATCGGAAAACATTTCAGAGCACATCCGGTACATGGAACAGATCCAGACTATATGGTCCGAGACCAGCAGGGCTGTTTGGATGTATATATATCTTTCCGCTCAACAGTACGGCGGCTAATCAAATCAAAATCAACAGCACGAACGATATACTTTCCCTTCGTAAGGAAATCGTAAGTATCGCCGCCCCCCCTGCCTGATCTTCGTCGCTTTCTCGTTATCTGATACACATGAATAGCCCAAGGAAGGCAGCGAGAGCGTTGTAAATGCCATCCCCATTATTATGAAGCACGAGGGCAAATGTCCTCAACAGGCCGTTGACGCCCTCCTAGCCGAGCTAGCCACCTCTGTGGCAGCGTTTGAGGCTGCTGCCATCGGTCTAGAAGAAGCGGCAGACAAGGGGGAGAGAGAGCTTTTGAAGACCTATTGCGACGCATGTCGCTGCATGGTCACAGGATCCATTCTCTTCTCGTAAGTGCTCATTCTCACCCGCAAGGAGAACGCACCAGCTAACCCACTTTGGCAGGCTCGAATCATCCCGCTACAAGCTAGAGGACTGCTTGAACGAAGACGGCTCTTTGGACATCTTATTGTAGGGAACGATGGGATGGAGACTTAAGAGAGACTTGGGAAGGTGGAAGCTGTTAGACAGATACCCCGTGTAGTGACCAACTTGGATTAAGCTGCGCTTGCTCTGGCGATATATCTGATCGACTTTGACCCTTGCCAGAGTGTATACTTATCCCGACAGAATGAACAACAACCTGTCTCTTTCTATACCAAAAGAGGCCTCATGGTTTCAAAGGATGCAAGAGGAATCTCATCATGCATAGATAACTTGGGTTGGCATGGATCCTACCACCTCTCAATCAAAGTGAGATATTTAGGGGTTTAGGGAGTTTCAGAACATTACGTCGTTGAGCGGACAGACGGCTCTCAGGCCCTTTTCTTCTTCTCCTCCGCCAACTGCTCGAAGCCCTGAACCAAGTCATCTCTCAGATCCTCCCACCCCTCGACGCCGACGCTGACCCTCAACAGCCTCTTGTCGCATCCGCTATCGCTCATTGCGCGCCACTCAATCAGGCTCTCGACACCACCCAGCGACGTCGCATGGTGGAACAGCTCCATCTTGCTCGGCAGCCTCCTGGCGTCCTCAGCGTCCTTGAGAAGGATCGCGAACACGGGGCCAAACCCTCCTGGCATCTGCTTCGCCAGCCACCCCTGACCATCCGCCAGGTCCTCCTTCTGCAGGCTGGCATGCACGACGCCGTCGACGAAGCTGCCCACGACGCCAGCGGGGTTCCGCCGGATCTCTCCGTCGAGCCAGCGGACGAGCTCCGTCGCCGAGCGGGACTGCCTCTCCACACGCAGCTCCAGCGTCCGCATCGACCGCACGCCCAACCAACCCTCCATGTTCCCCATCACGCCACCGATGAAGCACCGCTCCATGAACAGGTTCTGCACCCACTTCTCCGCGTGCTTCGGGTGGACGGCCAGCACGCCGCACAACATGTCCGAATGGCCGCCAAAGTACTTGGTCCCGGAGTGCATCACGATATCCGCGCCGAGCCGGAATGGGTCCTGCAGCGGCGGCGGCGCGAACGTGGCATCCACAGTGAGGTATGCCCCCTTGCGCTCCGCGATCTCCTTGAAGTACGCCAGATTGCGAGCCTCGCCCGTCGGGTTGAGCGGCGTCTCGACGTGCAGCACGTCGCCAGCTTCCAGCTGCTCCAGCGACGCCTCGTCGAGCTCGAGCTGCTTCAGCCCGTTGAGCTTGGTAAGGATCTTGATGACGCCGTGGCAGCCGTGGTAGCCGCCGCCGATGGCGACGCGCTTCGGGTTCAGGTGGACTAGCATGGCGTGGAAGGCCGAAAGGCCAGACGAGTAGGTCAGCGAGGGCCCACCGAGGACCGAGGTGAGGATGGCCTCGAAGCGGGTTGTGTTTGGGGCCGAGTAGCGCGAGTAGATGTGTGTGTCGCCCGGGGCCAAGGGCTGTTGGAGAATGGGGAAGACGAAAGTTAGTATCCCAGATTGCCATTGACCCAACTCTCTCTCTCCCTCGCTCGCTCTGTCTTCTCTCTCTTTACTCATTGGTTCTCTCAGGAACGGCAACGAAGGGCAGGGAGCATCGAGCTGTGGAGCGAGCGGGAACCGGGTGACGGGAGACCTACGTCGACATTGCCCCCTGACTGCAGCTCGTCTGGGTTGCGGCTGTACTTGAACGTCGTGGAGACGTGCATGGCCGGCGCGACGTCGCGGTGGGCGCTGATGCCGTCGTCGGCGTGGACGGTGCGCGTCGCAAGCGACAGCCCGCTAACGCCGTTCAACGGGTCCGAGCCGCCGCCGGCCCCAGCCCCGGGAGCGGCCGAGGTGCCGTTCGCGGGGATGTCTCCAGACATTTGCGCAGGAACGTGGGCGGGGGAGGGTTTCCTTATATCCTCTATGGAGGGCCTTTCCCCTTTAGAATATGAGGCGGAGTGACCGTCTATGCTGCAGCCAGGTTTCACCGGATGGTCGGACCAAAGATGTATCTACGTTCTGGGCAACGTGTCACTCTTTCGTAGGATCCCGAGGTATGAAGTCAAAGGGTAATTGGAAACAAGTTTTGGAAGGATTAAGAGTCACCGACGTCCGGCATGGATGGCGATGAGAGAACAGTGGACCGGCGGGATGAACCCCCTCCATTACACCTACCTAGGTAGGTACCTTATTTAAAGGTGGGGTCACTTTGTATGTACGCAGAAGTGTCCCCGCCAGGCCTCCGACATTCGGAATTTTAATCTTGTAAATTTCAAATCACTTTCAGAGCCAGGGCATTATTTGTTCGTTACTACCCAAACAGTCCTCATAAACACATGGCATCGAGTAGTGTCAAAATTGTTATCATTATCATTAGAGAGCTTATTTCTAGACGCCAGGCCTCAAAGCTCTGCCCCTCAGGCTTACTTGCAGCTACCCGTACATGCATAATGTGGCTCAGTCCAGTGAGATTCTGGATCATGAGCCCTAGTTCTTATGGTATCATAGCGAATCCGTCTTGTACATAGAGACGTAGCCCAGCCAATAACGCCGGATACCATGCCGTCGGGGGCTTGCACCGGGTGGCTAAATACTCAAATGAGAATAAAGGCAGGCGTACAATCAGTGGACTTCAGTAGTCTCGACTGACGCTACCGACTCGGGTCGCTGAATGGTGCCCAATTCCGAACCTTGCCCGCTCTGACCACGCTTTCTTCCTGCGCCCGACAGGAAGCGCGTAACGCTAGAGTTAGGCGAGTTGGCGCTCGGTTCCTTGTGGTCTAAGTCACCGAAGCGCGAAAACAAACCGCGCATGCGGCTGGGTTGGTGTTGCTGGTGCTTCTGGTCGTCCAAGCCCACATCCTCGAAGCCTTCATCGGCAGTAGGCAGGTCCCGGTCGGCCCGCCTATCAATCGCCGATCGGGGTAGTCGGGGGTAGCGGGCTGAATCAAGACTTTGGCGCGCCGGGAAGTCGCTCTGAGGAATGGGCGACCGTGCTGTGATATCCTACAGCACATATGTGGTCAGCGGCTGCGCCGAACCGAGCGGCGTTGGTTTGTTGAGGAAGAATAAACATACAAATGACCGTCTGTACGAGTCGAAAGACTCTCTCGAAATAGAGAAGTGCTCGATCTCACCGCTGTCATTACGAGTGTCTGTTGAGTTGCGACCCGAGCCGAGATATTTGCGCGGCCACGGAGCTTTTTCTTCAGTTGGGGATGGCTGCACAAATGCGTTAGCCATGTCTCAGGGACTGCAGAGGTAGTGGGCAGGATGCATACCGGTAGGTAGACTCCGCTGTCGTTGACGACTATGTTACAGACAAACAATCAGTCAATTGGTCTCACGATGGGCGCCATTTGGGTTGTGCGGAGTGGTGATCAATTGGGGCGATTGGGCAGAAGCGCCTACCACTCATTTTGTATTCCCCGTTATCCTGGCTCTTGGAGCTCCTCACGCTCAGCGACGACGAGGCCTTGGAGCCAACAGTGTCCTGCTTCTCGAATCCGGGATGCGATGGGTTCTGGTTGTCGGGTCGCAGGTTCTCATCCCCAGCTGGAGAGAAAACAGCATGGCCCGGACGACGGGCAAAGGGGTTGCGAATAGGCATGACGAAAAGTAGTGGGAAAGCGGAGTTGTCGGGTTATTGCTATAGGAAGCGCAGTATAGTACAGGGCAAGGGTATAAGAGGTCGAGACCATGTGAAAATGCAGCCTTGCAAGGTAGGTGATGCAAATGCAGACAGCGAAATTTACTGGTGTTGTTTCGGGCTGGGTTGGGAGTTTCGAGGTTGATGCTGGGACTGTTTGACAAGAAACCGATGGGTGGACCCAGAAGGCGGGGGGTATGTAGGTAGGGTAAGTAGGTAGTGGTAGGGTAGGCGGGATGGCGATGGACTATATGGCAATCTTGGCCGTCTTGTTAGTCGGGTCGAAGTTTGCTGATCTAACCCCGGTGCTTTTGGAGACGTTACAGTGTGACAGTCAGATGGTGGCTTGGATGTACGACAGCTGATTGGATTGGAACTGGAGTCTGGGTAAATAGAAATGGGAATGGAGAATGGAGAACATGGAGGTGCGTGCCGCGGTTGCAAGTCGGGGACGTAAGATACATCGACGTGAAAGATTGGGGCATGAGAGGGTTGAGGGAGATGGAAGTGCAGATGTCAGCTGAGGGTGCCTTCCTGTCTACCTCATCGGGCGAGAATCTGCAGGTTTTGGGCTGCGCTTGCACTTCGCTTGTCTCTGCCATGTCTCCCTTCTCCTTCCCGCCCCGCGCCAACAGCAGGGCCACACTTGGCGTTCGGGTGACAAGAAGATGGGCCGCTTTTCCCTACCACTACCATATGGCAACCGGCCATCTTTTTTTGTCGCCCGAATATTACACACTTCCTTCCTTTCCATGTGCCGCCCCTTCCGTATCTGCCTAGGCAGGTAGGTACGCATCCCCACGCACCCACAGCAAAATGTGTACGTACGAGTACTTTGTACACGCTACTTACTGCCCCGCAGGGACCAGAAGCGAGGGAGGAGGAGCGCTTCAAACTCGGAAGTGACGAATGACCTCCCTCTTGCAGCTGCATCTAACTATTGGATCATGAGTTGGTGAGTTGAGGTAAGGGACCGGCTTCGCTGAAAGAGGAGGCATGCCGGACTGGACCTTACCGTCATCTCCAGGGCCGTCTACACTGTGCACTCGGAGATAATGGGACCTGGCTTCATTTCCCATCACCGACTTCGCACCCGACGTCACACCACAATCGCAGCAGCCTCTTCGCTGGAATGCTACGCGGCCATGTCGTCTATCAGTGGAGACGACCGGCAGGGACAGCCCGATGGGAAGGGAGTTTCGGGAAGCTTGGAACGAACCACGAACTGTCCGGGGCCTGGGTATTAACGACCGAACCAAATTCAATCTAATGGACAACAGGCCAAGCCTGTGACAAGACAGGGGATCTTGGTCGATGACATCTGTTTGTCCCATGCTTCCCTGCCATATGTCATTGACGTCCTTCAGCCGCCCCCCGACCATGGTTCCAAGATTTCATTCGATTGTCGTGCACCGGTACTTGGGACACCTCATTGATTGCAACACATCAATATTCTAGGTGCCTCATCCATCCGTTCCGCTAGAAATCTGGGCACGATGGGGTTACACTTGCCGTCGCCTAGGTATCTCCCCCGGCCCAGTTTCCAGCACCTTGTTCCCGCCATTGCTCGATACCTCCAGCGGTTAAATCATCAGCCCAGTCGAAGCCAAGGAGCGCGCCTTGTTACGTAAGTAAGCCGAGACTTCTTCCGAGTCCCAACTTACCCGCGGACTTCCGTCTGCAGTGCAGTGCAAATATCGGCTACCCCTTCCTACCTAGAGAATGTGGGCAGCCCCACGGATGTCTTGGCACCAGGGCGTCAGAAGGCTTCCTGATGATGGGCGTACTGATTTGCCCTTGTCCTTCACCTGCCCTGCGCGGACCTGCATTTCGTCTCCGTCCACTTCTTCACGACATCCGAACGTTCCTAGTGCACGAACGAGTCTGCCCTGTGCATCATGCATCGCCCAAGCCCTGTGCAGTGAAGACGGCCGGCAAACTTTCCGGGCCGCGAACAGGTGTGGTTGTTGTCGTGGCCGGCGAACACCTAAGCCGTAAAGTACTATCACCACAGCTGGCGTACCTTGACTTTTAGACGGATACTTATGGCGAAGTCACCTCTCACCATGACCAATTGTGACTTATCGGCCAACGCTGTTCGTCGAGTCATCGTGATACCATAAGATATAATGGCCCAAACAGGGAACGGGTTATATCTTAGATCACGTATGCAGCAACTCTCAGGCCCAGCCCAGGTGACTCTGAGTGGAAATGCAACCGCTGGAAGAAAACAGACAACATGAACGAGCGCCTGTTGTGAAGCATCGAAGACATGCGCGTCTTCTTAAGCTGATGCCCGCCTTGAGATAGGCACAACCATTGGAGCTGTTGTCCACAAGCCAAGATCCGCATGCCGAATGCACTCATCATGACCTCAACACCAATTCGCAGGATCATCTTGTCATTGGATTCGTTCAACAAAGGGACAGCCCTCTCGATGAGACTCTGTAAACAACATGGAATACGCTACCGTCTCGGCTTGCGTCTGGATCAGGAAATGCGCGAAATGTCTTAACAAAACAGCCAACGGCGGAGAAGGCCGCCTGGTTCTAGGCATTGGCGAACCCAGACACCCAAAGCCTGGTGGGTAGATTTACCTAACCTGCCGTACTAATTTCGTGTCTGTCGCAAGGCAAAAAGTGGTGATGGCATTGTCAAGTTCACCATCAGCCGGATTGGGTCGGATCTGCCACATCTACCACGTGAAAGGCTCTTTGTTTCGAGGCGATCGCCGGGGTATCTGCAGATGCTCCAGATGCTATTCAGATACTACCAATGTGCTTTACATGGATTAGTCTTGACCGCCAGTTCTGGGACTGCGCCTCAGCCACGCCTTTGTGTTCAACATCGGGTTTGCAGTTCGCCGCAACACCAACTTCTCGGCATCAGCGCAGTCTCTTCCAGTCTTTCCATCTACTAAGTTGTTCCCAAATAATTTTCCTTCGTCGACTGGACCCTTGTCAAAACTGCAGCTCAGCACTGGGGTGATGATCGATGCGTCTAAACAAAGGAAGTCACCGTTCTGAAAGGAAGATCATCGAGCTTGGTACTTATCGCAAGTGCATGATCGGTAGATACGCGCAAGCTGGCGTATGGTACTGCAGACTGAGGACGGATTATATGTCATTGTATTCAAGATGAGCTCGTTGTTCCTTGTACTAGTCAGACGACGCTTGATCTATCGCCAGTGTCCCAACCTCCACGGCCGACAGGCACGTCATAACTAAGTAGAACCTTGACTCTACTTTGTAAGGCCACGGTTCAACAGTGCCAACCGCGATGCCGGTTTCATACTGCCAGATCATTCCAGCGGGATTTGCACCTCTAAACGCTTGATACGTGGGGTCTAGTCAAAATAATTAGGCGGCCTCCCTGTCTCAGCACGCACCACTTTGTCAACCCGCAGTGGCATTTCTCGGTGGATGAGGTAGGAAAAGTGTTCACGCACTGAGGGCATGTCATGAGATTTGCACGATGCTGAGGCGCAGGCAATTTCAAATGTCCATCGAAGGACCAACAATGCCAGACCCAGCACCCACATTGGCATTGAACCCGGGCACATCTCCCCTGTTCCGGGCATTCATGCTTGGCATCTCATCGTGTGACACGACGGGACGACGTCTGTTCCCACCAGGCCTTGGTGTCAGACCTTGTTGGAGCGCACTAGGTCAGTGCCATACTCGCCAGGGCCCCCAAGAAAAGAAGCGTATATGCAATGATTAGGACCTATCCGAGCGCCCGACCATATCGGGCGATGAATATGTGCGGCATCAGTGCTAACGGCTGTCACAAAGAGGCTGAAGCTCAAATAGACCTCTCTCGTCTCTCCGGTCCCACTTGGTACCACTCTCACTACGGCTTGCCAAGACCATCGGTCGTTTTCAGGTCAACATCATCTTAGCTCCAATACGATGCAATGCCATGCATGTGAGGCAAAGCACACACTCTGTGGTGTACCTAGTGCAGAGTGCAAGAGTAAATACAAGAGATCAGCATAAGAGTGCTTTCCAGAAGGGGCAGTGCGATCGAAACGGCCAGGAGAAATCCGAGGCTATGTATTGCGTTGAATTCGGCTTTTTCTTCTTTCTGTTGTGCGACGCTGGCGTGCTGATATCCGCTTCGAACACAAGAGCAGTATTCAATAAAACCAGAAAGACATGCCCCAATTTGGAAAAGAGCTGGCAGCGAAGTTCTGGTTGGGTAAAGGAGCTCGCTAGACATGCCAAGAATGTGGCAGAGTGTGGCAGAGTGTGGCAGAGTGTGGCTCTTGTGCGTGCTACCGCAACCATACGAAAGACGACGACAGAAATATGACCACGGTCCTCAAATCAGCTGTGGCTTTTACCTTGTTCTTTTACCTTCCGCCCTGGCCCCGGCGCTACCTAAGCGGGCAAAGAGCTAAGGTAGCCCAGCGCCGTACCTTGCATTCCGCAAACGGCCATTGAGGGCCACTTCCGACGTCTACTGTGTCTCTCGCGAATCCCCCGCAAATCTCTTTCCAAGAAGGCGTCGAGCTACGGATCCTCTCTTTCAATCCTTACAGTATCATGTCTTCCCGTGTCAGTCGGACAGTTTGCCTTGCCGGATCCAAATCATTCTGACATAGCGGCAGCGCAAGAGAAACACTGGTTTCCCAAACCACCGTCGACGGTAGTAGCTTGTTGAGATCCGCGACATGGGGTGGAAGACCAGGGATGACCCAGTCTGATGCCCTGCAGGCTGCAGCGGGCATCAGGAGTACCTGGTAGCTTTACTACCATAAGCTCGTCCATTGTGAGTAGCCGCCTTCGGGATAGTCGTCGACAGACGTGGTTGTAATTCACTCTCGCACGTCCTCGATCAATGCTGTTGTTCCTTCACGCACCCCCATCGTCCTTCCAACTCCACTTGGGCGATGATGGACGGCCAGCCACTGATACTCTCTGTCCGAGACGGACGCCGGCTCTAGTCCCAGTCCAGCGGCTCATTGAGGTCCAGGCCTGGGCCTCCAATGAGCTCTCCAGCCTGGATGGGATAATGGAAGTGAAGTGTTATGTTTGCTGTTGCTATCCGTATGCGCCCTATTTCATACAAAACCTGTCAGCATCCGTCCGGCCAACTGGGGCAAATTTCTCAGATCCCATACATGCTTTAATTCTCTTCACCGCCGAGAGTCCGTTGACGCCTCTTGTATTCACTGTTGCCCATACGAGGTATACTATACTCGCCTTCTGCTCGACTGATACACGACGACCTCGCAGCTTTCTCCCTCAGACTTTCCGGCTTTTCTGCATCACTCTTGACCAATACTCGTATTTCCACAATACACCGTGGTAAAGAGAAAACAACAACACGAAACCTCGCCACTGGTACCGCTCCTCCCAGCTGCCGCTCACCGCATTCGTATAAACCGACGCCAAGCCTGCCCGATCGCTAAGCAATAAAAAACATCAGGCACAAAGACTCAGGCACAAAGACTCAGGCACAAAGACTCATCCGGCCGGAAAGGGACTCTTCGTTTGCCTGGGTTCCCTTCCCATTCCAGAAGGAAGTCGTGCTCCATCTATAATCATCTCACCTTTTCATCTATCTGATAGCACGCACCTTCCTCGCTTGCCTGCTCGGACTTTGAGCACGTTCATTCAGCAAACGGCAGTACATTTCTACTCCCATCAATAATCATTCCTAATTCGAGATGGGTCAATTCTTCGTATCCTGGGAGCTATGGCAGCAGATGACCTTTGTAAGTCGTACTCAGTACCTGTACCTCAGCATGGCTAACACTAGTTACCTAGATTCTGGCCTGCGCCATCGGCGTCGTTTTCGTTATCGGTTTTATCAAGCTATGGTGGATGAATCGGTACATCGCGAGGCAAGAGATAATCGATGCCGAGAAGAGAGCGCATGCCGCAGAGCTCGCGTCAACCGGCCTCCCAGTACCTCCACGCAAGAAATCCGAAGTCCCTTTCGGCGTCCGCGCCATCCAGTCTGGTATCGAGGTTGATGGCATCTGGATATCTCGTCCCAACACGCCGTCCAGCGAACCGTCTCCCAACTCAGCCAGAGCCAAGGGCAAGTATGTCTCGATGGGCCCTATTTCGCCTCGCTCTTCAGTCTCCGACACTTTTAGCTCTTCTTCTCGTGCCGAAATCGGTCCTCAGACATATCGACCCAAGTCTACCTACAATCCTGGCACGAGCAGAGCCGACGCCCTGAGCCAGCTCGAGGGCAAGCCTCAAGAATCTTTTGCCTACAACACGTATCACCCCCGAAGTAGCAATCCCATATCCGAGGCCTCAGACGAGTCAGGAAGCTCCTTAAGCCCCGTCGACCGCTCTCCATACAACGGCGCCGGTGTCCATATGCCCGCCCACGCACCCCCCGTCAACCGCCACCTGAAGAACGCGCGCAACGCCAAAGAAAACAACTCGCAGCCCCGGACTGGCAATGGTGTTCGCGCGAACAAGGGTAACCTGCAACCTCCCAAGGACAATAAAGGATACTCTGGTCTTCCTCAGGCCTCTCCTCTCAGCGAATTCTCCGACCCCTTTGCCGACCCTCAACAGCCGACAGACACTTTCAGTGATGACCACGCTATCCTGCCCTCATCTCCCCACGTGAAGTTCGCGGCCAACGACCACATCGCCCGCCAGCGCTCCTACAGTGGCAGTAGTAGCGGAAGCAGCAGTGTGCGTCACAGTTAGAGTTGTCATCAGCGCTGACGCCGAGCCATCCAGGCGTTCAGCTGAAGTGATAGCAGAGTGGAATCAGCATTATTTGATGGAATAGCGGTCTTTTCACCTTTGTATTGTTCACTTCTTTTTCGTTATTCTACGTGAGTTTCTCACTCATCAGAATTTAATAAATTCACTACATCATTGGCTAGTCTGCCTCAATGGCGGCGGCAGAAAAGAAGGAGATATCGGCGGCCTCGCAAAGGTGCCATACGATGATGGCGTCCGGGTAATTCAAAACGATCAGGCAATGACGCAGGCAGGAATTCTCGTCAACTGTCGCACATTTGCATGGGAAAAGACTATCGTTAACCATGCGACAATTGTATAGAATTCCAATAGACAGAATTCGCAATGCTCAGTTGCCCAATCATTCTCTACTCCCCACCTCCAGACCATGAGCGTGGGAAAAGGACCTGAAGGATAGGCGTATATATGATGTGAGGGAGAGAAGGGGAGTGGGTGTGTTTATATAAATCGACATTCGCTAGTGGTGCTCGGCTCCCACCTTTGCACTCCGACCCTCGGCGTATGTCCGACTTTCGGTACCGGAGCCGGTTATACGACTCGAAACCCCGCCACCTCCCACTTCCCCCGCATCACACACACATACTTACCTGCCCCACACGTTCGATGTACCGGTAAGACGTGGGGGAGGAAGAGAGAGAGGGTCGGGCTACCGCAGAGAACCCCAGGGATTTGCTCCTTCAAAGGGGATATTGGTTCTTCTTGTTCGTACATAACATCGCGCGATTGCATCATCATCACTGCCTCGGATCCTCTTTGCCCACGTCAACGAAGCTCGTTCCCGAACACGCACACCCTCTGAGCAGTAGGTCTCGTGCCTCACAGACTAACCAAACCACACTCCACGGCTCGAACCAAGATACATATTTAGAAACTCGGGATCAAGAGAACAGGCAAACATGTCACCCACTACCCTCCACCAGGGTGCGGCAAAGGGCTTCGCCGACGCCGCCACCTACGACGCCTACCGGCCCTCGTACTCCCCCGAGGCTACCCAGAAGTTCCTCTCGCACCTGCGCCTCGCCGACGTCCCTCATGCACGCGTCCTGGACCTCGCGGCGGGGACGGGCAAGATGACGGAAGTGCTGGCGGCGCGGCACGAGGGGTTCGAGATCGTGGCCGTCGAGCCCCACGAGGGCATGCGCGCCGAGCTCGAGAAGAAAGGGTTGCCCGGGGTCGAGGTAAAGGACGGCTTTGCGGCGAAGTTGCCGCTAGGAGAGGAGTGGGCCGACGGTGCCATCGTTGCGCAGGTCAGTTTCTTCCTTTTCCCTCTGTATTTTATTCTCTGCAACACGCGAGCGGGGAGGGAGCCGTGATGAGATTGGCGGCCGGACAGCCTCAGGGGAGACGGTGACTGACTCTTGTCTCTTGGATAGGCCTTTCACTGGTGAGTTGGACATTGTGGCATGGATGACTTCGAACATGGCTCACACCGGGATATAGGTTCGCGACACCAGAGGCTCTGAAGGAAATCCACCGCGTTCTGAAGCCCACTGCCGTGCTGGGTGTGATTTGGAACATTGAGGAATGTAAGTTTCCATTCCCAAGGTCCCCGTCCTGCAGTGCCAGAGTGCCAGGAACCCGCAACGCCCATCTGACACGACTGCCTGCAAACAAGACAACAAGCCGCAACACTGGAAGGCTAGTACGCCCTGGGAAAATGCTCTTAACGAGCTCGTCTTCAGCCTCGGCTCCGACGGCCAGTCGCGCTTTCGTGACTTCGTCTGGAAGGACGTGTTCGACAACCAGCTCGACTCGAACCCGCTGCGCGCCGTCAAGGACGTCATTATGGAGGGCGGGCGCAAAATGCCGCTGTTTTCGGTGCCCTTGGGCGAGGAAAAGGTTCCCTTCACAGTCTGGCTGACTCCAGAGGCCCTGTGGAACCGGCTGCGGACGCTGAGCCAGATCGCCATACTAGAAGGGGACGCAGCGAGGGTGTTCAAGGAGAAGTTCGATGCTATTGTGACGGGGGAGAGCGTAGAGAGGAATGAGAAGGGCGAAGTTTTGTTGCACGGGGTTACGTATCTGGCGTGGACCTCGAGGCTGTAGGTGCGCGCGGAGGCGAGCATCTGGTAGTGGTGGTATATGCTGTTTTGATTTCATAGATATTTTGTGCATACAGCGCCTCTTGGCCAGCATAATGCTCGAGGATGTTATTGCCCCGAGCCCCCGGTCCTCTTTCGCAATCCACGGTTGACTTGTCCATCCGCCGTTCCCTAGGAGTCGGCAGAAATGTACATGACTATGAGGTTCATCAGCATTCAGATACACATGAGATGTAGGTATAATATACTCACCGTTGTTTCCTCTCACAAACGCGTCGCCGTACGACCGCCTCTTGGCGCCGTTGACGTACTCCTCCGTCTTCTCCAAAGCGATGTTCATATAGCCATCGACTGACTGCAGCTCACCTGCGACGGCATCACGTCAGCGCGGCCGCATAAAAGCAACAAGTCTTCTCGTCACGTTCCGTTCCCCAAGCCAGCAGGGGACTAGGGCTCACTCACCCTTGTAGACGACGCCCGAGTTGAGCTTCACGGTGACGGGGTTGCCGATGATGTCGCTGAGGAAGCTGGAAGGGTCCTTGCCCTCGCCCTGGCTGATGTTTCCATTCTCCATTGCAGGTGTTTGTTTGTTTGTAGTTTGGGTGGGTTACGGGTGGTTGTCGGCACACTCGATTGTACAGTTGTGGTGCGATGAGTCGTTAAGTTGATGTGAGTGAGGCTAACGGACGTCAAACAGATTAATTGACGATGTTCGCAGAATTGCTGCCAGCTGGCGACGACGGGCGTCTGGGGCGGAGTCGACCACAAAGAAAAGGGTACTTCTTAACAAGTACCTCGTCCTAGGTAGTCTCTCGCTGGGAGCTGTTTGATACAAATTGCCTGGGGCCAACTGAGGAGCCCTCGCCCCTCCCTGAGCCTAGCTTTCCCAGCATGGTTCGCACTGTCAGGCTACCCGAGCGGCGCACTCCCACCACCGAGCAGCGTGCATGGCGAACCACCAGCGCCAGGGTTCCCTGTGGGGTCCAGTAGTTCAATATTTGCTCTCACCACGGAAACAACGCTCCTCCCCCATCCCGTCCCAAGACAGGTATGCGCTCGAGGACGCCTTCTCTCCCTCCCACTTCGTCGCGTTGGTTCGTGATGACTCTGTCCGCTGCCTCTTTTTTTCAGGCACAGCCTCCGGTGCTTTCCCCTTTGTGGCCTGGAAGGTATTAGTCTTCCAAAATCCCACAGCTATAAAACCATTCTCTGCATGCAGGTGTTCAATTGGTCCCAACATTCGTGTTAAAACTTCTTCTCCGTCACGCCACCCTTGCAACCCCCATCGCATAGCATAACGACAACCGAAAATTTCCATACGTCTGCTTAGTATACAAAAAGAAACAAAAGCCAAAGAGAGACATGGCCGACGCGGCAAAGCCCAAGAGGCGCCTCCCTTTCAAACCCACCGCCCTGCGCCAAAAGTCGGATCCAAAGCCAGCGCCCAAGGACAACAACGAAGACGATGACGACGACGACGATGGCCTTAGTCTTTTCAAGCGCTCCGCCGAGTTTTTTCCTGTTACGGTTGCAGAACAGGAACGGCGCATGAAGAGGAAACAGGCGGAGAGAGAGAAGAGCTCGCAAGCACGATCACTAAATGGCGAGACGAAACCCACGTCGAGGACCAGCGATGAGCCCGGCGGGAGGGACGAGGAGGAGGCTAGGTACTGAGTCTCCCTTTACCCGGAGCCTTGATGTTGCATCTTGAGCGACGCTGACATGGCTCCAATGAACAGAGAGCCCGGCACGCCTCCCTCGAAACGCTCGCGAACGAGCGACGAGTCGCCCGAGTCGAGAAGCAAACCCTCCCCGACAAAACGTCGAGACGGTACTGAGACACCCTCCAAGCGCATAACCCGCGCCGCCGCTTCGCGGACGCCGCGGAAACAGGAGGTGATACCGATAAAACCCGTCATCTCGATCGATGACAGCGATGACGAAGACGACGAGGAGGACGATGCTCGGCCGCTAGACGACGATGACATCTATGACGCCTCACCCATACGCAAGCCCAGGTCCCGGTGGCAAACCTCGGAGCCTGAAGTCTCGCCCCTGGTCATTGAAGACGATGACCCGTTTGCCGAAGGAAGACGAGGCGAAGACGCTCCCGCGGCGCAGGAGGAGCAAGAAGAAGAAGATGACGAGTTCAAGGAATACGTCCAGCGCGCTATGGAGCGTAAGAAAGCACTTGAGCAGGAGGCCAATCAGACGGTCAATGTCTTTGTCACCTCTGACATCCCAGGGACCAAGGAGAAGCAGTTTCGCTTCACTCTCGTGAAGCCCCTCAAGGTCCTCCGCAACGCCTGGATCGATGTTCAGGATGGCCGCGCCGCCGTGCCGCGCTCCGAGCTTGAGAGCGTCTTTCTCACGTGGCGCGGGCACGAGCTCTACGACTGGACGACGTTGCATAGTCTCGACCTCGCCGGGACGTTTCGCAAGAGCGGCGGGGGCGGGGACGGGGGCGGAGTTGCATACGAGGGGTTCCGAGAAGACTGGACCAACGTACACATGCAGATGTGGACGCGTGATCTATGGGAGGAACATGAGCGACAGGAGGCCCGGAGGCGGCGGCACGACCTTGGCGAGTACTCGGACGACGAAGGGGGTGGGAACGAAGAGGGCACACCCGCTGTCGAACAAGAGGCCGAGAAGAAAATTAAGGTGCTGCTCAAGACCAAGACGGATGAGCCGCTCAAGACGTCAGTCCGGCCGTCGACGACCATTGGCACTATCATGGAACTGTTCCGCAAAATGCGCGGGCTGGCCGCTGACGCGCCTATCTCGCTCATGTTTGACGGTGACGAGCTCGAGGAGGACATGACGGTCGAGGACGCGGACATCGGCGACATGGAGACGATTGAGGTCTACATAAGATGAGGGGCTCAGGTTCGCCTATCGGAAGTTTGTTGGATAGGGGGGACCCCCCAGTTGTCGGAAACCAGGCGAAGCTAAGATGGATAATAGGCGCGCATCAAAAAGGGAGGCAGGCGGAGAGCTAGGTTTTATTCGAGATACCCGGGAGTTCCGAGCGGTCTTTTTGTGTTTCATGGGAAGGCGGGCTACAGGAAACACGATGCTGGTAGCTTGAGAATCGAAAAGGAAATGAAAAAAAGGAGAAAAGGTTCTGGGCCTTCAACCCATGTCGTCCCGACCCCTGAGGTGACAACCGTTTCCTATCTTTCTGAGATACGGATACATTTTTAAACTCACTACAACCAACTCCTCACCAGTCTCGGAGGATCGCCATTTTAGCGCGACGTTGTCTGCCATTTTCCCATTTTGTCAATCCATTCTGTTACAGCTAGTCGCCCCCCCGAAAGTTCCCCTGGCAAAGAAACATATCCCGAGACGATGTGATGGAATAACTCAGTATCAGCCACGTTAAAGAACCTCGAATTCGAATCCGCAAACGCCCTGGCCACCCGGTCCTTTCCAACCGTGCGGGAGGAACGGGCCGATCACTCATCGCCATCGCCTACGGCAACTCTTGCGAGTACCCTTGCCACGCCACGACCACCCAGGTATGCCTTCCATGTGATCGGTTAACGACCACGTGCGCCCGCTGCCGCTGGTTCGCATCATGGACGCGAAGTCCTCCTTGCCGGCCTTATTCTCCGCCGGGTCAGCGTCTTCGTCCTGACGCGCTGTGATGCTAAAGTACCGTGCCCTGTTGTACTTTTCGCCCAGCCGCTTGGCAACGTCGTTGGCCTCGTTGAGGGAGACAAGGCGGCGCTTGTCCGGGTGTCGTTCGAGGAAGACGCGTATGCTTTCCCAGACCTTTTGCTTGTTGGAGAGCTTGGAAGAGCCGTTCTTCCCATTCTCCTTGTCGTCGTCTGCCTTGACAAAGGATTCGACGGGCCTGTTGACATAATCGGTGGGATTCTTGCCGCTGTTGAGCCTAACGGGTCCCGGTGCTGTAAACTTCTCACCGGTGACATTCTCGCGGGCGATCTCGGCAGGGGTGCGGCCGACGGCGTTCTCGCGGTAGAGAAGCTTGGGCTTGTATCGGACCAAAGCCTCGGCCAGGAGATTGTCGTTGGACATGACGGCAGTGTGGAGGGGCGTGTCGCCTGCACCATTGAGCATCTCAAGTTCAGCACCATGGGAAAGCTTGAGAAGCAAGTCTAGGACGTCAATAATCTGTTCGTTGCTGTCGTACTTCTTGTACAAGTAGTAGTAGGGCGGATACGTTTTGCGCGAGTCGCAGACGGCGGTAATCCACGAATGTAACGGCGTCGTCCCGCTCTCGTGGATATTGTTGCGCTGCTGGAATAAGTGAGCGATGATGCCGGGGTCAATGAGTTCTAGAACTGGACCAAGATCACTGGCCCTCGGCATTGCGAACAGCGCCGCGTGTATTATGTTATCTCCAGAATTGTTACGTGTCATTTGGTTTGCCCCGGCCTTGATGAGGGTCTTTGCGAACTCGAGTCTACCAAAGTGGAAGGCCAGCCATAGAGGTGTATCGCCGAGGGTCGATTTGTACTCGAGGGAATTGGGGCACGCCTGGACGAGATACTTGATGACGTCGTTGGTCTTGTCTGTTGGAGGACCCATCACAGCACAATGGAGAGCAAGTTCGTCTGGTTCCACATTAGGACTCGCCCGGGTGCAGGAGCAAAGAAAGACTCACTTTGGATACCCAGCCACTTGGAGATGGCCCGGTCAAAGCCGCCAGGTGCCTGGCTGATGTGTTTCAGCCTCGAGTCCTCGAGGGCTGTTTTTGACTTTCCAAACTCCACGTAGTGTCGATGAGGGGCATCGCCGAGGAACCATTCGACGCTCTGGATGTTCCCGGCAGCTGCAGCGTGGAGAAGTGGTGGTGTCTTCACTCCAGTTGACCGGACCACCGTGTTTCGTCCGGCCGTTGCCCAATCCTTCCTGCGATGCGGGTCAGCACACTATCATATCATTCCAACATGCATAGGCTCACCTCTTCATTCCGTAAACCGTGAGACCCTGGTAGTACTTCCGCTTCTGCTTCATCTCAACTCCACTCTTCTTGACCAGGTCGTCAAGGGGAATTCCGGCACCGGTTCGACTGATGATCTCTGCAAGAGCTGCAGTCTTTCCATTCTTTACAGCCCAGAGGAAGTCGTCCTCGGGGAACGAGAAGTGCCCATCTATATCATCTTCATCAGTAACCCTGCCGACAAGCTTCTGTTCAGAAAAACGGCTAGCCATGTCAAGAAGCGTCTTCAACCCGGCATGATCGTCGTGTTGCAGAACGAACTTGAACAAAGTCTGTCTGGGTTCGTGGCTTATGGCCTTGTCGTCCTCGATCGTGAAGGTGTGAACATTCCAGGCTAGAAAATCCAAGGGCTTGACAATGGACTTGACCTGCATTGAAACCTGGCCAATGTTGTCGATGGTGAACTTTTTGTCGAGTATTTCAGAGATGATCTTGGGGTCATCGGTGGAGTCAACATCGCTCTTGTACGCCTCATCGTCGTCATTATCCTCGGAGTGGCCAGTATCCAACTTGTATCGCGTTGCTTCCTGATCCTCCGGTGCGTACTGGGCCATGACAATCTCCAGGATGACCGATGCAACATCTTGGTGGCCTCGGAGGTAAGCCAATGAAAACGGGGTGTTGCCATCACTGTCGTTCACTGAGATGTTCAGTGGCGGCTCCTCCTGGTTCTTGCCCCAGGCCTGGAGCGTCAACGATTTGATCTTCTCGACATCACCCGACCAAGCGGCCTCGAAGCTATTGCAGAATCAGCATCCACCAGAGTATTTCAGCCGCCCCGTGTACTTACAGCTCCAAGTACGCAGACTTCCTAGCTTCAGTTACATCAGTAGCACCAGGGAAGGAGAACACAAAGCCGTAGTCGTTGACCTTCTTCATCTCCAATGTGTGGCTGTTCGAAAACCTGTTGTCAGGACTCCCGTTGTCAGGGAACTTGAGGTCAGGGTACAATTCCTCGATCGTTTTGCCTCCTTTCGCGATGATGGCTTTCTCCAGCTTCTCAAGCGATGCGATGGCCTCCTTGATGGCTTGCGTCTTCTCGATGGTGCCTTTGCGCTCGTCGTGCTCTTTTTTCCTCTTTTCGTAGGATTCTTGTTGTGTCTTATGGTCAATCTTAAGCCAATGAATGTTTTCCGATACCTGCCAGTGTTGGTAAGATCCTGCTTCATACTTTTGGAGATACTCGTCCATTCTCAAAGGTAGCTCGGGCTTCGGCTGGGTAAATTTCTCGGTCGTGTAACTACGAAGACACTCCAGCTGATGGTGGACAAGGTCAAGTGCAGTCTGACCCTTGTGGTAATGTCTCAGGTGCCGATGGTCGATAGCAGAATAGGAGCTCTTTGTCAATGTATTGGGATCCGCCCCTTTTTCGACCAAGCTTATGGCCACCTCGGGGTCAGAGCAATTCTGGATCGCCACGATAAGTGGCTGATCGTTGCATGCGTTAAACTGCCTTTTGTTGTTCTCATATGAACCAAGGTTGCCAGACGCCTTGGAAAACTGAGCCGCCTTCAGCCACGTATCGAACTCGATTTGGGGATTGGCCCCAGCCTCCAGTAATTTGAGGACAAGGATAGAATCACCATTCTCAATCGCAGTATGGATAGGCGCAATTGCCGCAGGATTCCGGCAGTCAACAAAAACCATGTGGTTCAGCGCGGTCTTGAGGCCAACTTTGTCGTTCTCCCACAGTGTGTCAATCATCTCCCGGTTGCCGTTCTCAACGTACCGATGGAAAGTAGTACAACCATCCATGTCGGCTTGGGATGAGCTGGCGCCAAGCTTCATCAGTAGAAGAGCCATCGACTTGGCCTTTTCGATAGGAAGTGACAGCGCAAGTACCAGCGTCAAGATAGCCGCCTTGGGCTGCTTGTTTGAGTCGAGAAATTTCACGGGAAGAAGAGCGTCGCTGCCGTAATCGCAAAGAACCTTGACAGCATCTTCATGCCCTTCCGAGATGGCAAGATGAAGAGGTGAACAAGGTACGTCCCAAGCCAAGACGTCGATCTGGTAGAAATCGGGTCCATCGGTCGTCTCGTCCAGGACGAGATCTTCCATACTCTTCTCGTTCTCATCCTGGACATTAACGAACGAACCAGTGGCAATAGAAGTTTCATCTGCTTCGGTGTTGCCCGCGTCGATCACCTCAATGTCAGAAGCTTCGCCCGAATCATCATCACCCTTCGCACCCATGTCTTCGTCGACCCGGTTAGGTATCTTCTGCGAGCCAGAGCCATGCTGCGACCTGGCCTGAATTTCTTTGCGACGGCGGTCGGCCTTCTCCTCTTCTTCAGCTTCGTTTAGGTTACTCTTGTCCATCAGGATCTTGATCATGTCGGAGTTCCCACGCTCGGCAGCGAGATGCAGCGCTGTCCTGCCGTCGGCAAGGCGTGCAGTCAGACGGGACCCATGATGGACAAGACAACGCACGACTTCGGGCGTGGAGCTGGTCGCCGCCAGGTGGAGGGGCGTACGTCCAGTGTAGTCTCGCTTGTTAGGATCGGCGCCCTCCTGTGACAGCCAATCGCGAACCTCATCGACATCGCCATCGACGATGCTCTGGCACAAGCGAGCAGTGTTTCCCACGTATGCCATGTCGGTCCAGTCGTCCTCGGTTAAGGGGTTGAAGGAACCGATCTGTTGCCGACCGGGATCATCAATCAGAAAGGAGACTGTGCCAGAGATATAGATCTCGCCTTCCTTCTCGGCTACTTCGAGCTCTTCAGGCGTGACAGGCTTTGGGCAGCAGCCGCAGCAATCTTCAATAACATCCTCAACTCGACCGAAGAAGGCGGGATGCCGGTGGAGATATACCTCCCTGTTCTCATGCTGGTTCCACTCGGCATTCAGAACTGAAATCATTATTAGTGAGAAGGTGACATCTGGTAGCTAAGATACTCACGCAGATCTCGAGTGTAGCAAAGCTTTTCAATCTTCTTTGCATGGAAGCTGTTTGGGTTAGTTGAGGAAGTCAATAGAATGGATATATCAACATACTACCGACCGTATGGAACAGTGAAAGTGTGATAATTGGAGACATCATTTTCGTCAACCCAGTCCGCAACTTCGTCCTCGTAGTTGTCTTTGATGTTCCCATTCAGGCGATGGGGGTTGAAGGGGTTCGCCATCGGACGGCCTCTCTCCTGTCTTCTCTGGTTAAGGTACGTCTCACGGACAGATTGTGTGGGGAGTCGTTCCAGGACCAGGAGTCTTGCTAAGCCGAGCGTCCTTTGAAAGCTGCGCTCGAAGATGGTGGGATCGATGCGTTTGCGGTCAAGCTCGGGCCAGTAAATTTCGAAGTTGCGGTGGCTGTACTTGGAAAGCCGGTTCTCGTAGGAGGGACTTCGGCGGGTGAGGTCGATTTGGTTGACTTGAGTGATGAAACTTCCCAGGGCTCTGGGCGTAACCCAGACCTGCTTCCCGTTGTAGGCGCCACCTGCTGCGTCAATGTCAAATCCGGTGAGGATTTCACCTACAGACCTGAAGAACGGCGTTAGTCGTCATCTCTGCATCGGCCGCCAAGCTGCTCTTAGTAAAATATTGACCTACTTGTATACACGCAGAACAATCTTCAGTTTTGATCAGTGATTGGGTCTGATAAAGAAGAACCAGAGCTTACCTGAATGTGGCGGGTGGGGTACTGAGAGGCAATGGTGATGGCATATTTCGTGCGCACAACCGTGACCTCACTCAGAATAGCATCGCGGACTGAAGCCTCGATCTCCTTGATCTTCTCGATAGCCTCTTCGTGGGTGAGACCGTACAGAAACAGGTCAACGTCAGACGCCGGACAGAACTTCTCGTGGTAGTACTCGCGAAGCTTGCGTTTGGATGTGTTGAATTCGGGCGGAACTGGCAGCAGGGTGTCGATGACGGATGACCCAGCAGCAACAACGTTGTCCCAGTTCATGTCGATAAGGGAAGACTCAGAAAAAATGTTGAAGTTCTTCTGGAACTCTGTGATACCGGAGACCACGGCAGGAGAGCCATCGGGACGGCGCTTGCCGTCCGGGAGGACCATGATGTAGCGGTCTTTCTCCTCCTGGGTCTCGGCGGCGAGAAATCGGGCGCGTGTCTTGATGTTCTTGGTATCCTCGGTGAAGAGGGGCAACAGGTTGATATGGGGGTCAGCGAGGGCAGGGTTTTGTCGATCTTGGGCGAAGACAGATCGAAGCTGAGCTTCATACTTGCGGTAAGGCCCCAAGATATCAACCATCTTCTTCTCTGGGTGATCGTGGATGTAGTTGACCAGGTCCCCATGAGGGACCGGCAACTCCTGCAGCTTTGGGATGGTCATTTTGGTGAGTTTGAGGGCTGTTATACTGTCCGGGTTTTTCTAGGGTTGATTGGGAATGAAGTTTGGTAAGTACAGGACAAACGCTATTCAACGGAAGAGGCCGGTTGCGTGGTTAGTAGTCTTGATAATGGGTTTGTTGACTTTGGGTTTGAACACAAGGAGCTCAAGAACGGCAGCTCCTGGAGTGCGGTAGAACAATGAGCAAACAGCAGCAGACTTGAATCGATTCATGGGCAACAGGACGATATGAGAGGGGTGAAATCGGATACCGACGCAGGAGTGATAAGGGTTTGAGAAAGGATGATGGGAATCGAAGCTATCTTATACAATTTGCGTCGCTGTCATCCCACCAGAAAGAGGGACATGGGATGCAGGCAGAATGCGGTCAGGGCCAAAGCACTCCCCCCATGCTTCAACCAAAAGGCACTCCGTCTCCCAAAACCGATGTAGGAACCAGCATGTAGCCAGACCCTGTGCAGGAAGCCATCGCAGCGTGGCGTGTTGTACAGGCAGGAGACGCGCCGAAAACGAGAGTAAAGAAGTTGAGAGACGCGATGCGGGGGCGTGCTGCCTAAAGCGCGGGGAATATTCGACACGAAGTCCAGTGACCCTATGGGTGTCCCCACTGTTTCCTCCCAACGTCGACCGCCATAGCGCGCTGTTGCCTAGGCAAGCTTGGTGCTATCTCGGAACGGCACCCGAGGCCCGCTGGAGCCTGGAGGATGTCCAATTTTTCCACAGAATCTCGCTCTCTGCTCTCTATGAGGGTGCGGGGCTGAATGACATCGTTTTGTGCAATAACCTCCAACCTTGTACATGATGCGGCCGACCTTTGCCACTGCTTCACCAGGCAGAAGTGCCTTCCAAACCTGTTTCCATCTTGAGTTTGAGAGCAGAGTTCATGTAGAGCTTTCACTGTATACTACAAGAGAGGGTAAAATAATACAATACTGATAGATAATGTTATGTACATCTAAAATCGGTTATTCATATAGCAGTATTTGTAGTTTTAGAATCCTTTTATAGGCGTTGAGAATGGGAGTATTTAGTGTGTGTGTGTTCAAGTGTGCACTTTTTTCTGTCCACTGGGTGATGGTTTACAATATTAGGGGTGTAACCTTCCACAACTCAACTAGTAGCTTCTTTCCTGCTTGTGCTAATCCTCCTCATCTGGCTTGATGAGAACGAAGAGGCGGTAAACATAACATCGGACCTTTGTCAAATACGGACGAAGTGGAACAGTGGTTCTTGGCGCCCAAATCCGTGATGCACAAACCTCGGCTTCCTTCTTGGGCTGTCTCAGACACAACAAATTGGTGGTGTTGTCCGTTCAGTTTCGACTAACCAGCAGTGCACCAAATTTTCAACAAGGTGGTATTTCTTGCTCTAATTTATAGTCGTATCAATTAATAGTCATAGCAATGCTCAACAGACAGCAAGCCTATATCTTGTTCCCGTCTCCCATCAGCTCATCATCATTGCTCAGGTTGCACAATCTACAACCAGGCGCCACTCATCGCCTGACTAAAAAGTCCTTCTCATCCTCAATGAGACTTCTCTCCTCCTGGTCAAGTTTGACGACTTTGGCCGACCTCGGACCCTCGTCTATGTCCTTGAGTAACTTCTTCAGCGCGTCCTCATCACCCTGCGCCTCGCCCTCTACCTGTGTGTCACGGATATATAGTCAGCCAGTAGATCCGCCCGGGATCGTAGAAGCACGTCACACAAATTCTGGAACTTGCATCTTGGTGATGGTACCTCAGTGCATGCAAACTCACCTTATTGTTATCTGTATTGCGACACCATCCTGTGAGTCCATATTCGGTCGCTTTCTTCCGTGTGAAGTAGCTATCCCAGGCAAAGCCATCAGTGTTTACTCAATTTCAAATTGTACCCAGCTGTTACCAACTTGCCCAGAGATCAAACAATGGGAATGCAGGGCAATGGTATCACGAACCGGAATCCAACGCCTGATGTGTGACGTCAGCGTGCTGAAGAACACCACCAACCTCAGCCTTATCCAGACCAAGATAAAAGCTTGGAGCTCGTGTGGAGGGAAACCACGAGGGGTTCACGCACCTTGCACTTGGCCGCCGTGTGCCAAAAAGTATACCTTGGGATCGTCAGAAACGACCAAATTTTGACTTGCAGAGGAAAGCAACATACTCTCTTCGCCATGATGTTTCTGACTCTCGTTTTATGGAATGGATGTTGGGTTGCAATGTTGGAAATTAGGATGCAGGAAGTCAAAAGTAGCTCGGAGCTCCCCCCAAGCTTGCGACGGCAAAAAAAAAACCACCCCTAATGGTGGTGGGGTGCCAATCATCACGATGACATACCAGGCAAGGCCCCTGTCGAACTTTCTCGCATGCGCCCGCCATCGATAGGCTAAACCTCGGGTACTTGTTTTGTGTTCAAATCCTCGGGCGGGCTTACGGTCTATGCTGTTCCTCGCATCATTTTGCATGTTCAACTATCCATCCATCTGTCCTTACGCGCAGCAAAATCTAATGCCTGAAATCAACAACAACATCAAAATCACCAAGCACAAATACAATTATACCAGGGTCGCGCGCCTTTGCGCATCAACCCGGAGATGACGTCCCCAAGCGACTCAACACCAACCGTCGACCCGGTCTCCGCCCCGATCCTCTTTCGCACAAAGAAGAAGCGCAAAGCAGGCCTCCGTCAACGCGCCGCATCACCCGCCGAAGACACCCCGATCGCCTCCGCTTCCCCAGTAGCTCGGAACGCTACACCCCTGGACCAAATTAACGCATCTGTACCGACGAAACCTGCCCCTGACGCAGTGGCCATCGCCGATGAAGATAACGAATCCCACATCCCCTCCGCTCTCCGACATCGCTCCCGCAAGCGCCTCAATGGCGTGGGCTTCTCCGCGCGCGGAAGCACAGTCGCTGCAGCGGTTTCAACAGACGACGCGGATCCCCTTTCCTTAATTTCATCGTCGCGCGCTGTGGTGCCCGCCGCAGCATCCCCTCCGGACGACGAACCCGTCATCGCGAAGCGCTTCGCGCCGCAGACGGGCACCGCGGCCGCTACCATCGTCAACAAACACATGTATGTACCATCATTTTCCGTCTCATGGGTGAGACGAGGATCGCAAGATCGTCCTCACCCCACCACTGTTGGCCAGAGGCTGATCAAGCAAGGATGGAATACATAGAATCCCACCTCTCTAACCGCAAATCCCCCGTCACGCAATCTACGACAAACCCACCGTCATCCGCGCTGACGACTTCACAATCATCCGCATCCGCGTCCTCCATTGCACCACCGCCGCCGCCGCCGCCGCCGCCGCCATTACCCACCACCGACCCTGGTCCGAAGAATCACCCCATCATGCAGGGCAAACTTATAGAGGTTGATCTCGGCGACGAGGCTCGCGCCCGCAACAAGGCCATGACCGAAAAGGCCGCCCGCCGTCTTCTCGGCGAAGTTGACGGTGCGGACACCGACACCCCAGACGGCCGGAGAGCGAAGAAGCCCCGCCTCGGGAGAGACGGCAAACCCTGGCGCCCCCGGAACCGCCGCAATAGCGACGACATCAAGCGGGACCAGCTCGTCGAGGAGATTCTGCGCGAGAACAGGCGTGAGTTACCCCCCCCCCCCCCCCCACATCCCATATTCTCTGCCACTACAACCCTCTTTTCCTCGCGTCTTCGTCCGAGTTTGCTGCAAACACATACTAACAAAAATACCCCAAGTCGACGTCTACGATGTGCCCAAACCTCTACAGCCCCAGTATGACGGCGACGGCGACGCGGACGACCGCATCGCCGAAGAGTTCCGGCGCGAGTTCATGGATGCCATGGTCCAGCGGCATCAGAAGAAGAAAACGACCGCGGCGGCGGCCCGCGCGGGGGCTCGCAAGGCGGACGATGAGGTGCTCAAGGGTCCCAAACTGGGTGGCAGTCGCAACTCCAGAGCTGCCATGCGCGACTTGCTCCTGAAGAAGGAAAAAGAGAAGGAGTCAAGAAGATGATGGAACTGTGTCCGTCTTATAATCGAAAGGGATTTTCGACACACTCCAATGATACCCATTCACTAGAGGGAAAACGACTGCTAAAAATGATTGAATTTCATGATTGGCATCTATAAACCAATTAAGTACTCCTAAAAATCAGATAGACAGTTTGCCCATACCCGTCCAAAATACTAAAGGAACAAAGGTCATGACGACGTGCAAGCCAACCATTCATCCTGTGCCCGTTTTGATATCCCGTAATAAAGCCTATAAGTAATGAAAAAGGGGGAGGGGGAAAAAAAGCAAGAGCTATCCCACAATACTGTCATAGTTTCACTCATCCCTAGAATAGTAAAGATTGTGTAGAAAACCGGCTCGTGAAAAGCTCTGTCTAAGCTCTCGCCAAGTTGCAACGCCAGGGTATTGAACGATGCAGCGAATCCTCACGTCAAGTTTGATGCTCTGTTGGTTCCCAAGACGCCGAGTGTGTATTGGTGCGTGATGTTAAATGCAGTATGCAGCCCCAGGTTCGAATGTTGTGCGTAACGTATTCATGAAGGTCGATAAGAAGGACAAAGTCACCGGATGTCAAGCTGGAATGGCTTGAACCGGCCGCCAATTGTTGCGCAACGGGGGCACTTGCGACGGGCCCCCTGCTCTGCCATGAGAACATCAACGCACGCCTGGCACAGGCCGCAGATGCATTCTGTGCAGGCATACGAGTCCTTGAGCAGTGAGACGCTCTGACAGGCTGCGCAATAAATTTGAGTATTCTGAGATGAATAACTCGGCGATGAATCCGATAGGCCTCGAGACTCGATATGGAAGTTCTCTCCACTCTCACCGCTTTCAACCGAGGGGAATGGGTCAATTGTGTCCTGGTTGTAAGATGGTGGGGTCAAGGCTTGCTGAAGAGGTGAAGCTTGGTAACTTCCTCCAGTCGCTGCTTGGAATCCATGATGTTGTTGGAATGGAGGCAACGAAGCCCTGTGGATAGAAACTGGTGACTGAGGCATCTGGATGCGGATTAGCACGTATAAGCATGAGTAGCATGTCAAGGGTTCTTACGGGAGTTCTATCCTCATCGATATCGCCGGCGGCAGATGCAGCCTGGTCGGCGGCGTCGATGAGATCTTCCCATCTCTTCCCATAGTCTGCAGAAGGTTCAGCCGATAACGCCTTACGGTCATTGTTACCTGGTCTTAGCCGTTCGTCGTTCTGTATGCGTCGAAGCCAGTCTGCTGCCGATCCGCGAGACTTTTGTTTCTTGTGGTGTGCCTCTCGGCCTCTCTTGGTAACAGATTGCTTCCTTGGTCGCGCGGGCCCTACTGGTCGCTGGATTGGCGGAAGTGTCGAGGAACGCCCAGGAGGGGAATTTGCTATAATTGAGGGGAGGATATCACGCGGCCTGCTCGAGTTCATGGCTGGAAATGGCTCGCTGGTAATGTCGTTATTTGACAAGTGCAATGGCGGCAACTCAATTGATGTCCTGGGAATCCGACGCCCTTCGCTGTCAGAATGCCATCCCTGGTTGGAGAGTGATTGTTTAGCCGCCTTTCTACACTGGTAAAATAACTAAAATGGACGAATTTGAGCTCACCATCTCGGACTCCCATTCAGGTTCGACCTTGTGACCATGCAACTGAGCCAATGCAGCAGCGGCGCTGGCGGCAGGAAGCATGGAGCCGACAGCTTGGTCCTCCATGATCCGGGGCGTCCCCGGATTGCTGTTGTCATACATGTGGCGGTCATGATTGAAGCCTTGAAGATAGTCAATCTTTGAGGGGAAGCCCTGGATTGAGAGGGACGAACTCTGTGGAATAGAGGTCGCGGTTGGCATCGGCGGGCGTTCAGAAGGAGGAGTATTGATCATGAGCAAGAAGCTTTCTTCGGTCGCTGGAAGCTTAGAAATATAGTGCTCTGGGTGTGCTCGTCGGATGTGCTCTTGCATGGAACGATATCGTTTTTCCTAAGGTTTAACCAAGGGAGTTAGAGGAGCTCTGCTTTTCCTTTTTCTTGACCGGGTGGATCTGGCTGTCGCGATCGAAGCTCTGCGCTCGAGTCACAGAATGTGCAGAGGCCCAGTGCTTGTGGCGGAGGAGACGTCGTGAAGAAACCACGACCAATGCAGCAATACTGGGCAGCACTTACACCGATGCACCTTTTCCTACAGCTAGATCCATCTTGATTTCGCAGAGGACACACGACTTCATTGTTGGAGTCGGTGATTGAAAAGGAAGACGTCAGAGAAGATCTGGGCGGCATCTTGACCCCACCATGCGCTTGAGGGCTGGTATCGATACTGAGCGGGGTGAGGTGCGATAAGTGCGGCAGCAGTGGTGTATCGCGAGGTGGAAGCGAGGTTAATTGAATGCGACTCGATGCAATGAAGCTTGACCATTTGACGGTTCGACGAAAGGCTGCGATACGTGGTGAGCAATTATTTAGAGCTTTTGGAAGCTCTCGTCTCTTTTTCTCTCTCAGGCGTGTTACAAAGAGTGTTTCGAAGAACAAGGTGCAGTGGAGGGGAGGAAAGGACGGGGAGGAAGAGAAGGAACCTGATTTTGGGGGGGAAGGGAAGTTGACCGAAAGCAGTAAGTAGCGGCAATGTGGGAGTGAGGTACACTCGACAGGCTAGGTAGGGGTGTGGCTCGGTCTGGTGGGTAATGAATTACGATGTAGGTACCCAGCCAGGACAGGTCCAGGTCAAGTCAGGGAAGGACAGGACAGGGCCAGCTACCTTGCGCAGCACGCGCAGCCCAGTGAGGAGGATCATACTCGGTAGGCCTGCCCAGTCACGTATACTACTCAGGGAAAGCAGGGGATGGGATGGGGATGAGGCACGGATACTGGCAAGGTGGGCGAGCAAGGAGGGAGCTTGGATCTGGCAAGGCGCCCTTGTCTATCCGACCTTGGGCTTTGGTGTAGCGAATCGATCGAGAGGGTGGGAACAAGAGCTGCTGGCGAACATCTAGACAGTTTACATTGTGCCCAGCTCTGAGAGCTAGCTGCCTAGGACCAAGAGTGCTACAGAAATAATTGAGTTGCGCGCGCGCTCGTACCTGTCTGTTCTGTGTCCGTCCTGTACCCGAACCTACGCCGACCCTGAGCTTACTTTGCTTGCACTATAGATGGGGTGAAAGATGCAGATACCTATAGAGTGACCAAAGCGGTCGTCGCGAATAAGGAGGCGACGACGAGGCGAGCGAGGGATGAGTGGAACGACGAGGGGCAAGGAAGTGAGTGGTAGGTAGATACCTAGGTATGTAGCGACTGAGGTGAGCAGGTGGTGAACAGGTGACAAGCTGTGAGCTGAGACGGTGCTCGTCGAAAGGTTGGGTGAACCTAGGCAAGAAGCCCAGCTCCAGAATGGTGTGGCAAGGCGGTATCAAAGTCACTGATCAGGTGCAAGGTGCGGCTAAAAATGGTCAACATGGACGGCCGGTTGTTGCTGAATGACAAGACGGCTGCGCCGGCGGTTCGGACAGTGCAGTGATGCGGTCGGGTAGTGTAAGTGGCTGGTCAAGCAGAAACGAGGGGATGGATGCTACGAAGCTCCCTCACTACCAGCTTCGATGTTGGTCGGCCAGCTTTGTCACGTATCATAACAGCGCTGGCTGGTCGCCGAGACGGGGCTGTTCATGAATCCTGCCTCAAACCTTGAAAGAAGTCGGGTGGGCTAAGCACATTGCCCGAGGGACGAGTAGCAACATGTTTCCTCTCGAGTCAGTCGTTCCGCCTCTTCTCTTTGTTCGATGAAAAGGCTGCAGCACACAGAGGTGCCTGACTTGGCCGAGAATGGCGGTAACCATGGGTAGGTACAAGACGGTGGCGGCGTCGTCATCTTCCAATAGCAGCTCAGCAATCTGAGAGCTCGGGGTCAGCAATGGCAAGGTCTGTTCTGTTCCACTTGATGAGCCACCAAGGGGAGGGAGGGGGTGGGAGGAAAACAAAGGACAAAACCAGGCAATTGGATAGCATGAATGACTCGATCTAGGACGGAGTGCATCTGGTGGGTTGGCAGGTCGAGTTGGTTGGTTGATCCTAGGGTTAAAGGGAAGGACGAACGAGGCCTGCCGATAAAGGAGGGGCGTGAATGCTAGCAAGACGAGATACACCATCCGCAAATGCATACCTTAGTACATAGCAGAGGCACTAGAGGCAGAAGGATCGCAAGGCACGACAGAGAAGCAGCGGAAGAGGGGCGTAAGGGGGGGGGGGGGGGGGGGCTCGAGTGATGTCGAGCTCCCCCGCTTATGCCCTTCCGAGGGCTACCCCTGGATACTTGGCTTGGGAACAGTGTGGCATGTCATCACATTGCGGTCATCCTTACGTTTTGCGACCCCGCCCTGACCCGCGTACAGTTCTGAAAAGCCTAGACCGCTAGCCAACCATCTCACCACCGTGGTAGACCGACACGCGTGGTTGATTCACGGAAATATTCACGCGTTTCGCACCGCACGAGATGATCAGCGGGATATGTCCCCGGTAGAGTTTGCTCTAAAGGGGGTCAGGCTTACGAATGTGCCTCGGCGGTCCCTAGTGCCGACTTCTGTGACTTGGGTAAGCCTACCAAGCGTGCGTCAGTATTTCCCACGGTTCTCTTCCATAGAGCCGACGTAGCCTCGCACCCCGAATGCGGTGCCATCCGACACGTTACTGGATACTTTACCATGCTGGAAGCAATTTAAGGGGCGTACGCGACGGGCAAGAGTAGTACTATCTGGCCGTATCAATGGCTTGGTGGGGACCTGGGAGGGGTGATCAGAACAATGGAAGGCAGACTGTCTACACTAGTGGGGCGCGCCTGCTTGGCTCTTTCTCTTCGGAGCTTGCGAGTGGTCGGAAGAGAAAATAGGCCCTTGTCGCAGTGCAGGGGAGCTCTTGATTCTGCCTTTTTTACCATCGACTGTCCCCCGCCTTCCCTTTCTGACCGCCTGCCCCGGCCTGGTCTGTCCGAGGTTGATGGCCTTTTCGGAGCCATCTCTGTTCGACTTTGATGCTGCTGCTGCTGCAAGCCTCTCTCATCTCCTGCCATCTGGTTTGTTTTGCTATGCTGTGCTGCCCTGCCGTTCCTCGTGTCTGCTGCGGCTCCTGTTGCTTGCATACACGTACGGCCATCTCTCCTCCCTCCGTCCTCACCTGCATCTGCGTTCCGCTAGCGACAGAATAGCGGAGCTGGACCCCTGGCTTGGCTGTCACCTCCACTGATTGAAGGTACGTATTCGTACGAACAGTACGGATAGTCCTGACCTCGGTCAATATCTGCCTGTCTGATCACTCCCTCTGGATCCCCGCTGCCCGACCGTCACGTTGAACATCCCAGCAGACGGGTAGGGGGGAGAGGCTAGGTCACTGCAGCAAGTATGTAAGGTAGCTTACACCATAGTAGTTAGTACTCCGTAAAAGCGGATAGCTTTGTGCGCAGGGCAAGACAAGGTACCTTAAGCGAGGCGAAGCCTCACGTCTTTCTTTTCACTGCTTGATTAGGTACGCTGCGGTGGCTAGGATGCGCACGACTGATATCGAGTAAGGTAGTTGCTTGCTTGCTTGGGTAACCCGATCAGTGCTGCCAAGCCAGATCAAGTGCTTCGTGGCATTGCCACAGCAAAATGAGCACCTCCAGACCAAATCTCCGGCATAAAAGCGATGAACGGTCCTCGGCAAGGAAAGGCATGATCGGGGCGGCCGTTGGGCATTGAGAACCGGAACACAGACCAGCAGCACGAGGTTGCTTTCCTTGTGTGTTGCTTGTAGCCTGCAGCTGTTGTCGGGTCGGCAACAGGCAGCCCGAAGCACCAAGGCCGGCGCACCCACTGCATGCAGGGCCCTTGCTTTGCCTTGACGAGTTCAGGGCATTTTTGCAAAGGTGAACCTTGGAGCTGCAGCGCCTCCAAAGCGCGCACCAGTGGAGAATTTACCCCCGACCCGAAGCTTTTGCCGCCGAATCGTCTGTTCCACAAGCGGAGAGGAAGGGCGGTGGTGGAGAGCCAGAGGCAGGGGTCGACCGACACTGGCGGATGAGACTGTGATGCGTGCGTGGATGTGGATCATGATGCGGATGTAAGTGGATTACTCTGTGGTATCGTATCGACAGAGTGACGGGGTGGCTGTCTGTCAGACGTAGAACAGCTTCTTCAAAGGGGGTTCTCGATTTTTTCTATTGCTGTTTTTTTCTCTCTTCTCTTTCCCTTGCCATGTTCCTGCCATGTTGAAATGCTAGGATGCCGCAGGGCTCTTCAGCACGTCAACCTGCCTTTTCCATCCAAGTCACCCTGCTTGTCAAGACGTTGCCATTCCCGCCCGCCTGGGTTAGGTAGGTACCTACTCTACCTAACTTGAAGTGCAGTGTACCTTGTCTACCTTGCCTTCCTTCTCTCCGGGCTTTTGCTCTTCTCGCTTCTTCATCTTCCGCTCCTCGGATTGGGTGGCGAGCAAAGCTAAGGCAAGGCAGGTACGTACCGGGTATGACCGGGGAGGTCCCCACTTTCGGCACGAGGGGGGACCCTCCAGTCCCCTCGCGTTCAACCTTCCTCTCGACCTATCACCACTCAGCAGATTCGACTGTACGGCAGCAGAAAGAGAGCGAAACCCCCGACCGGAGAGACTGATAAAGTACGGATACATGTTACTCCAAACCTGCGCCTCTCCAAAATCATATGCCGAAGGTCTGCACCAGAAAAGGAAGGGGGAACGGGAAAGGGGGGGAAACAGCTGGGGTCGCTCCACTTTGTTCCTTGCTCTCCAACCAACCTCTTTGGAAATAGGCCAAAGCTGACATTGACAACCCGAAACCACGGCTTTTCACCGAGGCGGTATCTGCTCAAAGAACGTGGCTCAAGTCCAAACCCTAGCCTTGTTCAGATAAGTGCCTCCCTTGCGCCCCTATCTCTTCGGCTTCTGTTTTCGAGGTTTGTCGAGTCCTTTTCTCATTGGGTTGGCAATGTCAAACCATGTCTCACCTCACTTATAGAGGTAGGCGTCTGGTGATAGATACGGCATTGCGGATGACTACGTAGGAACCATCGCTAAGTTCAAATCGGTGAACCAATGAGCGGGCCAATTACACTCTGTCTTTACCTTGCAAAATGGCTTTTTCTCTCTTTCCCCCTTGCCACATCCCACTCCGTGGACCCTGGTTCACGGGTGAGACTGCAAATTATAATTTGGAAGACAGGGAAAAAAAAAAAAAAAAAAGGGCAGACAGCACTTGCAGAAAAAGCGGAGATCTCTCATTACATCCTCCCTTGGACCACCGAAGTGAC